ATTCCTGCAGCCCAGAGGCACAGAAATTAGGCCGTAAATTGCACGCCGAGGGCTGGGGCGATACTTTCTTCTTGTCTTTTAACGCCACCAAAACCCAAAGAAGTTCCGAGCGAAACGTAAAGCCCAGCCTGCGTTCAGCGCCTAGCACAGGATTGGGAGCCTGGGGGGCGAGCGGGTCCCTGAAGCGGGCTTGAAACCCCTGTCCAGCTTTTCATTCTTCTGCTGGCGACTCGAGAAAGCGCTCAGAAACGGCAATAGAGTGCAGAAAGGGCAGTAGAGTGCAGAAAGGGCAATAGAGAGTGCAGAAAGGGCAAATAGGGCGCAGAAAGGGCAAATAGAGCGCAGAAAGGGCAAGAGAGCGCGCAGAAAGGGCAATAAAGAGCGCAGAAAGGGCAATAGAGAGCGCAGAAAGGGCAATAGAGAGCGCAGAAAGGGCAATAGAGAGCGCAGAAAGGGCAATAGAGAGCGCAGAAGCGGAAAGTGCAAAAGAGCGCAGAAACGAATGGCGATAGAGCGCAGAAAGGGCAAATGGAGCGCAGAAAGGGCAATAGAGAGCGCAGAAAGGGCAATAGAGAGCGCAGAAAGGGCAACAGAGAGCAGAAAGGGCAATAGAGAGCGCAGAAAGGGCAATAGAGAGCAGAGATGGCAATAGAGCGCAGAAAGGGCAACAGAGAGCGCAGAAAGGGCAACAGAGCGCAGAAAGGCCAATAGAGCGCAGAAAGGGCAAATAGAGCGCAGAAAGGGCAATAGAGTGCAGAAACGAACGGCGATAGAGCGCAGAAAGGGCAACAGAGAGCGAAGAAAGGGCAACAGAGCGCAGAAAGGGCAAATAGAGCGCAGAAAGGGCAATAGAGTGCAGAAACGAACGGCGATAGAGCGCAGAAAGGGCAACAGAGAGCGAAGAAAGGGCAACAGAGCGCAGAAAGGGCAAATAGAGCGCAGAAAGGGCAATAGAGTGCAGAAACGAACGGCGATAGAGCGCAGAAAGGGCAACAGAGAGCGAAGAAAGGGCAACAGAGCGCAGAAAGGGCAAATAGAGCGCAGAAAGGGCAATAGAGTGCAGAAACGAACGGCGATAGAGCGCAGAAAGGGCAACAGAGAGCGAAGAAAGGGCAACAGAGCGCAGAAAGGGCAAATAGAGCGCAGAAAGGGCAATAGAGTGCAGAAACGAACGGCGATAGAGCGCAGAAAGGGCAACAGAGAGCGAAGAAAGGGCAACAGAGCGCAGAAAGGGCAAATAGAGCGCAGAAAGGGCAATAGAGTGCAGAAACGAACGGCGATAGAGCGCAGAAAGGGCAACAGAGAGCGAAGAAAGGGCAACAGAGCGCAGAAAGGGCAAATAGAGCGCAGAAAGGGCAATAGAGTGCAGAAACGAACGGCGATAGAGCGCAGAAAGGGCAACAGAGAGCGAAGAAAGGGCAACAGAGCGCAGAAAGGGCAAATAGAGCGCAGAAAGGGCAATAGAGTGCAGAAACGAACGGCGATAGAGCGCAGAAAGGGCAACAGAGAGCGAAGAAAGGGCAACAGAGCGCAGAAAGGGCAAATAGAGCGCAGAAAGGGCAATAGAGTGCAGAAACGAACGGCGATAGAGCGCAGAAAGGGCAACAGAGAGCGAAGAAAGGGCAACAGAGCGCAGAAAGGGCAAATAGAGCGCAGAAAGGGCAATAGAGTGCAGAAACGAACGGCGATAGAGCGCAGAAAGGGCAACAGAGAGCGAAGAAAGGGCAACAGAGCGCAGAAAGGGCAAATAGAGCGCAGAAAGGGCAATAGAGTGCAGAAACGAACGGCGATAGAGCGCAGAAAGGGCAACAGAGAGCGAAGAAAGGGCAACAGAGCGCAGAAAGGGCAAATAGAGCGCAGAAAGGGCAATAGAGTGCAGAAACGAACGGCGATAGAGCGCAGAAAGGGCAACAGAGAGCGAAGAAAGGGCAACAGAGCGCAGAAAGGGCAAATAGAGCGCAGAAAGGGCAATAGAGTGCAGAAACGAACGGCGATAGAGCGCAGAAAGGGCAACAGAGAGCGAAGAAAGGGCAACAGAGCGCAGAAAGGGCAAATAGAGCGCAGAAAGGGCAATAGAGTGCAGAAACGAACGGCGATAGAGCGCAGAAAGGGCAACAGAGAGCGAAGAAAGGGCAACAGAGCGCAGAAAGGGCAAATAGAGCGCAGAAAGGGGCTTTTTTCTCCTCTTTTTTCGGCTGGTTCACTCTTCACCCGTTGGCATGTTTCATGCTGTCCATTTTCTGCTGCCCTGGCTCCAGGGTGAGCCCCACAAGAACGGCGTGTTTAGCCTCTAAGACGTTGCGCTTCTGGAATAGTTTCCCATTTCGGCTAAGCTTGTGTCTGGGTATTTCCCTGATGGGATCCATTCCGACGAGGTGTCTCTCACCCGCCGCCTCCTAAGCATCTTTCTTCCTAATAACGTCACAAAAAATTAGCAGGAGTTCCAAGAAAAACTTACCCTGGCGGTCAGGCTCTCCCCCACCGTTACTTGATCATCCACGTTCACGTGTGACTGGAGCAAAAACTTGCGTATTTAGGGGCTAACCTCATTTATCAGAGAAATACCGTTCTCGTGAGGAAGAGGAGCACCTGTGCAGTGAACTTTCTGACCACGACTCACAAGGGTACATGGGACAGAAGGAAGTTTCTCCTGGGTTTGAGCTTAGAGAGGCAAATAATAGCTTTCTTCTGGTTCATGAACTGCAGTTTGTCCGCTAACGAAGGCATTAATGAGCCAGCTGTTGGGAGACCAGATAAAATTCTTCGGGAACTTTATGACAGAGAGCAGCTCGGAATTGCTGCCGCCACCTCCGAGTCGAGCTCTGCGAGGCGGCTCTAAACGGGAGCTTTTCTCGCCGCCGTTCAGAGCGTTCTCTACGCAGCGTAGCCCAGCCAGGGCTTTAGAGGTTGGGTTTTTTCTGTCACAGCAGTTGGCACGGCCGGGATTACCGCTGAGTCACCAGGGCTTGAGCAAGCGGCCGAGCTGCTGCCGTCACGTGCTGGGTCACCGCCACGAGGCGAAACGCCTTCGCTGAACCTTGCTGACCTTTGATGCGTCCTCATCAAACGCTGCTCTCCCTCTTTCTTCAGCTGCCCGCTCGCTGTGGTGCGGGGATTTATTTTTTTTTTTTTCCTTAGCCAACTACTTGACAGCTATTTTCTGGTTTAGGTTTTAGCCAACAGCGTGAGCCCTAGTGGCAGGGCGGACGAGGCGCTTTACTTTGCGACTCCTACGCCTGTGGTGCTGGACAGAGTTTTGCACGCTTTCGGTCGAACGCCAGAACCTTTGTCACCCTTCTCCTTGGGATCCTCTCCTGTTTGGCTTTAAGCTGGTGCTGGGGCTTGAAGTCATTACGAACGCTGCAGCCGAGCTCTGCTGAGCCAGCCGCTCGGGGGCGAGAGCTCTGAGCTCAGCTCTGCTAAGCGAAGACTGATCCCTGGGTTTGGGGAGACAACTGAAGGCTCAGCCACCCTCTTCTTTGACGCTGCTGTCGTGCAGCGTCCTGTGCCAGTGGCTGTTGTAACTGGGGAAGATTCCCTACCTTTTTTCCTGCGCTCCCTCAGCTCCTCCTGTATGTTATATATATGTAACGTGATTGCCTTTTGCACCTTGACGTAGCTATTTCCCTGTATTTCAGAAATTTGCTTTAGGATGGAGCTCGCTGATGACGTCCTGGCTTTATGGCAGGATTTGGATTTAGAGGCCAGTAAAGAATAACAGATTTTCAACACTAGAGCTATTCACGTGGCGTGTTCTGGTTTGGACTGGACTGCCAGCAAAGTTTCCCAGAACAAGGACCTGTGCGGACCTCATGTTCTTTCTGCTTCCCCAAACTGAGGCATCTGCGCCCCTTTCGGTAGGGAGCTGGGCCCTAATAATGGGGAGCATCCACGCACGGCCCTCCTTGTCCTTTCCGTAAAGGTATCCCATGGAGCTGAGCTAATCTAAGTAAAGCTGGGCTGGACAGAGACCTGGTTCAGGTCAGCTGTTCATGCAACAGAAGCTGGCCTGGCTTTTAAAAAATGTGGTAAACAAAACAGAAATTGCTGGTGATGAACGTACTAAATTTATAGGAGATCTTCCAAATCTGACAGCTGATTTAAAAAAAAAAAAAAAAAGGCAACTGCTCGTCTGTCTTAAAAATGTTTTCCGTTGCATTTAGGTTCGTTATTTTGATGGAGCTAGGTTTTGCAGCAGCTCGGTTTCCCTCTTTATGAAAAGCAGCGTCTGTGAGGCCTTTATCCTTTCAGCATCAGTGAAAATGCACGTGTTCTTCCAGGACTTCCCAGCTGGAAGAGGAAGTCGCAGAGTATCTTCTCTGCAGAGAGACCTGGTTTCTGCCTGTTGTGGGACAGTACGTGGTTTGCTGTTGCTTGTCTTAAGCTACGCTTCCGAGCTGGTTGCAGCACGATCGTTCCCCAGCAGAAGCAGTCATTTTGATGGAATCCTTGCTTGCCATCTGACTACCTAGCTAATTGATCCTTATTAATCACAGGCTCTTTGAATCCTGCACTCGGCGTGTCCTGTGCGCAGGCAGGATTGATGTATTGATTGTTTCTTCCCTAAGGGAGAGAATTCCGGAGAGTGAAGTCTTCCCTGAAGCCAGCCTCTGCTGGAAACTTCCACAAACTGCCTTGGCGCTCCCCCCACCGCCAAAAAAACAATACCTTGAATTTATTTTTAATAAGCCAAATTTCTTCTGATGTGTGGCAGTAAATCATTTTTTCCCCTTTTCTCCTTCATCTCGCGCATCTTGCTGGTTACGCTGCTGTACCACTGCGCGGTACCTTTTAATAAAGGACGAGTTCTGCAGCAACAAAGGGAAGAGAACGTTTTCCCAGTGGAAGGCGGTCTATCTTTAGAGGACCTTCTCAGACTTTTTGTTATTATATTATTCACTTTCTTGGTACAATACATATTTCGCTTTTTGATTTACTTTCCATCCATATATCCCATATTCCTCGCTCGTGTTCTCGTTTCAACTGTTTTCCGCTGAGGTTCCTGTTGTATTGATCCATTTTATTTTTGCATAACATATTCAAATTTTAAGTTTAGTTGCCACGCTTCAGTAGTCCGTCAGTTCTGCGGCAACACATCTTCTGCCTGTGAAATCATACGCTTGTGAAAGAGACTGACTATTGTTATTCCTTAAGCAAAGTTTGCTCAGAAAGGCCTCAGAAAAACACTTGAAAGGCCCGTGTATCTCTCCAGAATTCGGAGTCAGACCCTGAAACGTCTGCGTCAGTTTTGAAATTTCCCACTATTCCCGTCACTCTGCTGCTCCAACTCCAACGCCCTGGGATTTAGGCAGCCCCTCCCGTTGCATGGGATAGCAATCTCAGGCCGAGGGTGTTCTCCTGAAGGTCTCCCATCGCTGTCTTCCACGGACTGGCGTCTTGACCTTACCAGTTCCTAACCTGGTTCTCGCCGAGCGGCAAGGCCGTGTTTCTGGGGAGCTCTGAGCTGGCGCTGGGTGGCTGAGCACCGTGAGGAAGGCATCCCTGGTTGGGCTCTTCCTGCGGAGATGGAGTGCCTTTCATGCGCAGGGCGTCCAAGCGTGAGCTAACAGCTCCGGTTAGAGCTTCAGGAGTGGGCAGTTACTTGGTTATGTAGCAATGGAAAGCTGTAAAAAGGTGGCAGCGCTCAGGGAAAGATACAGAAATCATTACGAAATACGTCTTCGTAGCTGTCTGACTTGGCTTCAGGGTTTTCCTCCCGTTTCCTTGATGCAATTAGTCATTTCACACAACTTCCCCTGATCCGCTCCTTTGATGAACGCCATCCTACGTTGGACGCTAATGGAGGATGAGGTATGCTCCTTTCCCAGCGGCGTTTCATCCCCAGTTTATGAAACTGAGGCACAGAGACATTGAGCGAGATCTGCAGATTTCTCTGCCCATCCAGCATGAGATGTAGCACCAAATGCAACATTTTGGTCTGGTAGTCTGGTTACTAACGTACCGTTCTTCCAAATGAATGCAAGATCCATATCAATCCTAAACCATAAAATCCTGAAAAACTGGTATACAGTGGCCTATGCCTTGCGAAGACATAGAATCATTTGGTTGGAAAAGACCTTTAAGATCATTGAGTCTGACCGTAAATGTTGTAAACTTGTAAATGTTGCTTTTGGTTCTTTCAGAAGCGAGCGTGCAGGCCGTTAGAGACCATTCCAGATGAGGCTGGTGCTCGCCGCATTGACTGTGCCATGGAGCTGGATTCGAAACAGAAAATCTCCACTGACTGTGGTCCCTGGGCTACAAAGACAAAGCAAAATTCAATGGTATGTTTACGCTGTCAACAACATCTATTTTTTCGAAAAACATATTAAATACATTTTATAATAAAATTGCAAATAATTGCCCCCCCCCCTTTTTTTTTGATGACTTTGTGTATGGTTTTATTCATTAGATTTTTGAAAACCATGGAAGCAGAGGTGCTGCCCAACCTTGCCCAAGATGTATTGCTGGGGAATCTGTAAGTATATTAACCTTCTCTCTGCGACATAAATGATAGACTTGTTCTTAAGTATTAGATCCATAAAACATAAAGTTAATAAAAACCGCAATTACATTTCTCAGGAATAAAGCATGTAAATAAAAGAGAGCAGATTGATTTAGCATTTCTGAGGTACGCCAGCAGAGCACAAACTAATACGTTTCCAGCAGCAAGCGGAAAATAGGGAGACCGTGAACACATTTTTCAAACCACTCCAAAAAGCAGAGTTTAGGAGGTAACTGAGGCAAGCAGTAATGTACAACTTCCTCTGCCCCATTTTTATATCTTCCTTGGTTTACTGGATCATAATAAAATATTCAGGAATCCCGTTCTAGCTCCTATTTTTCACTCTAGCTCCTATTTTTTTCCTCTAATTGGATACTTCTTTTTGAAAGAGTAGACATAGCCGAAAAATACTACGTTCTAGGCAGACCAGAGCTAGTTTTAAGCGAGCTAGCTAGAGAACCGGTAGCAATCAGAGCTCGGCACAGCCAGACTGACTTTTCTGAAAAAACAGTGCAAGTATTTGGACAGCTGAACAGTGCTGACTTCTGAGCTGATTCAAACAGGCTCCTCTCGGCGTCCAAAGCAAGCTGGTTAAAACCTGTATTTTTTTTATTTACGTAGGCTGTAGTCACAGCTACGGTTTGGCACCGGGGAGCGTGCTGTAATACAGCAGCAGTAGCACTAGAACCTCCTGCTAAGACATGATAGTGATCGTAACCACTCTCTTTTTTTTTTTTTTTTTCCCCTCTGTATAGAAGGCCAGATCCCGCAGGAGGGAATGGCTGGTAATAGTGGAAGAGGTATTTCTGCAGTTGCATTTTTAATGGAAATTGTCCAACCAAAGTTTAGGAGGTTTCTCAAAGGTATGGGAGCTACCCCTGAGTTCTGTTTGCATCCGCTGCATCCTTCTGAACCATCACACAGGACTCCTCAGAGAGCCAAAAATGAGGAGGGGCACGGGGGAATGCCTTGCATTTCTTCAGAAAGGCTGAATGTTGATAGCAGAATCTTTGAGTTGATGGAATTAATGGCAAAGTTGCTGTTGAATGCTGTGAGGCTGAGGTTGCTGCCCTAAGTCAGGAGCTGTGACTGAAAAATATTTACCGTGTTAACTTAGTTCTGACCGTCTTTAAAAATAAAATAGAAACCAGATCCAGGGCTGCCTTTAGGAATATAGAAACCACTGTGACCACATACGTGGATTATCAAGCTTGTACTTTCCAGATGTGCTACAGCCTTTGGGGGCGTGGAGAACATCTCAGGGATTAAAACCCCCGGAAAAGAACATGTTGGGATTAAAACGCAAATTGGCACAGTAGGAATACAGTTGTGTTGTATTCCAGAATTACAGTGACACCATTAGAGTCTGTAAAATTCTTCTAGTGACCACTTGGGTTTGGAAAATTATGACTGCTTTTCTGTAACATGAGTACAAATACTGTAATTCCAAAGAACACCATTTCTGTTTTCGGTCAGATTAGCCTGACGTGGTTTTTTTTTCCCATGGCCTGGTAATGAACCTGAGATAAAAAACAGGTAACTTGAGGGGGTAACATTCACCTCCTCCACAAACATTTATGTATTGAAGTTTGGCTCTAAGGGATGACCTATTTATTCACTTCTAAATGCTTTTCAGCTACAGCTGCAAGAAACAAGGAAAACAATTTGCTAACTTTACTCAGTGAGAACAGGAGTCTCAAAACTAAAGAGTTTTCTACTTGACTGGCCTTCTGTGCTTTCAATACAGAAACTCAAGGTAGTGTTACAAAAATCGAGAGCCCTGGTAGAGCTACTCGCTAGACTTCTTGCTAAATGAGCCTCGTACTGTTGAGTTGAAATGGAAAATGCTTTGCTCGAAGCAAGGCGATTTTAAATATGATTCTGATTTCCATCATGTACCCTGTAGCGGGGGGAAAAAAGTTCACCCGTGTGTGTTGCAAAATGTCAGATGTAAATTAGAGTTTAAGGAGTGACATACAGTGTTTGGTAATGGAATAACGAGGTTAGCGTATGTATACAGTTCTCCATTATTTGAGTCACGGGGCTGGAACAATCTGGATAAAAGAAAAATACGACTGCTTTTGCACCGATCGCTCGCTCTTGTGGAGAGGGGGTGCTCAGTTTGGCTCCCAGCTCCTCTGAGGAGAGTTTGCTAGTTTGGACATAACGCCCCACAAAGACAGGACTAGAGCAGCCAGGATTGCCTCTGGTTTGGCTGCACGCGTGTCGTGTTGAGCCAACGTAGCCACCCTGCTAGAAACTGCCTTGTGTGCGCGGCCTTGCGTTCACGGCGTGCTTCATGGAATCCCAGAGTGGTTTGGGTGGGCAAAGCCATTTAAGATCATCAAGTCCAACCGTTCCCCTACCCCTGCCATCCCACCCCCAAACCCTGGCCCTCAGCACCGCCTCTGCCCGGCTGTTAAATCC